GAGTGAGAGAGTTGAAGTGTGTTGTTTTTATTTTTTTGTGTATGACGTCTGCTCCTCTGCAACTCACGTGCTGCACACTCACCTCCACTTGCTTCCTTCTCCTTCCACGCTTGCCAACATCACAAACCCTCCCTGTACATACAATAAGGCCTCAGGCCATAGCCAAAGTCCTCACTCCCCCTGGGGCTACACCCCGGCGACGCCGAATGTTGCCTTGGATCTGAAACACTTGTGGACTGCACTCAGGCTCGCCATCGAACTGTTCTCCGGCGGAATGCATGGAACGACGGTGGTTTGGAGCGGGAAATTCTTGAGCCTGATTTTACAGAAGCACGGCGACGACGAGGGGTGAGCGAGCGGGCTTCGAAGCCACTGGAATCATGAGGGCGAGATTGGCTACGGTCAAGCGCACGAAAGGACATGGATCCATTGTTACCCCTCCGGCGAGGCAACTCGTTGTAGGGCTCAAATTGTGGGAAGGGAAATCAATCACTGCTCAACTAGAGAGAGAGAGAGGGAGTGGGTTGATTATTAAAGGGTTACCCTCCACGAGCTTAATCTGAATCTTGACTTTCTCAAACAAATACTTGCTTTTGGATGAAAACCCAGCACCAGAATAGTTATCTAGTTTTATCTTGAGAAGCTCTCCTTCATAGATGAAATGGTCCATTGCCCAGCTGGGCTGAAACAACTCATCATACCTTGATGACTCAACCGAACCCACCATTACAACTGCAACAAAGAGAGCCATCACATAGGTCAGCCGTTGATGGCGGCGTTGGAGAGGCCGTGAACGCATCCGGGGCCAGAGACGGTGAGGAGGATGCCGGGACGGCCAGTGAGGAAGCCGTAGGCGGAGGCGGCGTAACCGGCGGACTGCTCGTTGTGGAAGGCGATGAATCAGACGCCGAGAGCGACGGCGCGGTTGGCGAGGAAGGTGACGGGGATGCCGACAACGCCGAACATGCGGTACACGCCGGCACGTGAGAGGACCTTGGCCATCAGGATGTTGCCGTCGATTGGTATCCGCCATTGTTGTTGTGAAGGTTTTGAAACACTGTGATCGAAGAAGAGAAAGTGAAGTTAGTATCGTTGGGTTTGTCTGGCGGGCGGCCAAGGCAAAGTTACTGTCCACCAGTCAAGTGAAATTACTAGCTTCTCAATCCAGATACCATGTTACAATTAAATGTATAGAGAAATAGACAAAATGAATTATATGTGTATTGATTGATTGATTATTGATGTACAATGATTCTATATATAGGAGATGGGTAGAGAGTCAGTGAGTGAAGTGTTTACATTTAACAACTAAAATTATTTAGTTTGTTTGGTTTTGTTTTTCTGAAAACAGTTTTGAAAAAAATTTATTTTTTTATTTTTCGTATTTTTTTTAATTTTTAAACACACTTAACATAAATACACATAAAAAGTATAATTTTTGTATTTTTTAAAAAAATTTAATAAATACCAAAAATATAAAAAAAAAATGAAAATTTAGTATGTTCTTTGTATTTTTATGTATTTGTTAATTTTTAAAAATATTTTTTCATAATCTTTGTACTTTTTAGATACATTTAAGGAAGGTACATTTTAAAAAAGTAAAAAAAATGCTTAAAATTTTAAAAATAGTCACTAAAAATAAAAAAATACAAAAAAATAAAAAACTCAATTTTTAAAAAACTTAATCCAGAAAACTCAAACCAAACATAACCTTAAGAGATATGACACGAAGCATTAAACACCAGTGCAAACTCACGATGATCAAAACAAATACAAATAAGGAGTAGACACAGAAATAAATAAGAAGAAATATATAATTCAGTGTGAAATAAACAATAATTTTACTTTTTCACCCATACGATTAATGATTTATTAATGAAAATAAGGCAATATGTGGTAAATGAGGCAATATGCGATGTCAATTAAAATCTTATGAGTGTTCAATGTAATTATGTTAAAGTTATGAAGCTCGATGTATTTTCTTTAGACCTCAAAGAAGGTTAGTGTAATTTTTCATTTTATTTAAAAAAAAAAATACAAAAAGAAGAAGAAGAAGAAAAATTATGAAAATCAACTAAACAAGGTAAATAACTTTCAGACTGCCAAGATTTTGATGAACGAGGGAAATGAAAAAGAAATATGTGTAAGCTTTCAAGACCTTAATTTGTATCCAGCCATTTATATTTCATGTGTGATTAGTTAGGTGATTTACTTGTAATTTGAGCTGTGCAAGATGAGAAAGCCAAAGCCCAATGGTCGTTGGAAGATTTCCATATGAAAAGCATAAGATTTCAAGTAAATTTCTATTGGTGAAAGATACTAGTTAAAAATCGTAGGAGGTTATCGAACCCGTGAGATGATTGGAGCTTAAGAAAATCATCTTTAGCTCTGGAAGTTGTCCTAATTCAGTTGGAATCAAAATAGTAGAAAGCTCATTTTCTTTTTTATTTTGTTATTGGTATTAGAACTTGGTGAAGAACTTTTGAAAGTAAAATTAAGTTATGTAAATATTTCTATCTATGTGTGTGGGTAATTTTCTTACCACACTGCCCGCCTAGTAATCAGCTGGAGAGCACCGGCAAAATAGATGGCTCCAGTAACCTGTAACAGAAAGAAAGGGCTCCGGCGGTGGCTCTTCCACCCGGGGGCACTCCGACGATCAAGTCAGTATATCTCTCAAAGATAATCAAGTGCTAAACTCACAAGCTAGAGTATAAAACTGCGAACCTTAGACCCATGGGGGTGCCTTTCTTTTATAGTTAACTCAATCCAAGTCCTACTAGAAGCATGACTTCTATAGACTTCAATTTAGTGATTACTTAGGATTTCTCAAGAGATAAAGATAAACTCCCTAAGAGCTTTATCCTTATCTTGGCTAAGTCTCTTCTTTGTCCTAGGACTCTTGTCCCTTATCCGCTTATCTCGGATTCCGATATCTTCGGAGATAACCTCGGCAACTCCAAGATCACCTCGGCGTAATTCCACGACACGTGGCACCTCGGCCAAACACGTCGGCGTCTCCATGCCACGTGTTGGTACCCAAGAAATATATCCCCACAACTGCCCCCTAGGTTCTATTACCTTGGCATTCTGAGGTGATGGAACCTATATCGATATTTCTTTCTGCATAGTGGTTCAAAAACTGTTTGGCTGAGATAATGCATTCTCAAGACGATGTGTTCTCTTCGAAGAACAAGAATCCAAATGAACTCCACCACGCGCATGAGCTGTCATGCATATCTAACCGTTCCTTTCACGTGCTCTGTCTTCATTGGCCCGTGTCTATGACGCGCTTGAAAGCTATCTTTTATTCGTCTGCGCCGTCTGACGTATCCGGTGCTCCAGGTGGAATAAATGCCCTGTTTTGCCGCCATTTTAAGTTTTTTACAAAACTTTTCTTTCCCTTTTCCTTTCTTCACTTTTTGCATTCTGATTTCTTGTTTTCTCTCTCTCTAAAAGCTCTAGCATTCTTCGAATCTGCCATTGCTCTAAGTCCCAAATTCTGTGGCCATCCTTACTCTTCCATTCCCGCGAAGCTTTCGCTATTGTTACAACTGTCGTCTGGTCTCGGTGAATATTGCTTCGGCTTCATTTTATCCGGTAAGCAACTGGCCCCCTTACCCTCTTTTTCTAATTCTTGATCGTTTCTGAAGTTTCTTGCTATTACTGTTCTGTTTAAGTGTTATTCGTGAATCATTCACCTGAATGCGTCTTATTTCATGATTTTTTCACATGCCATGAACACTTGCACTGTTTCACTACTGTTCTTGGCCCTTAACCCTTTGTATTCTTCGTGTTCTTGATAGCCCATCCCTGTTCTTGTCTCTGAAACTTCGCTTTTGTTCTCTGTTTTTTGTGTTTTTACCAGATCTGTGCCCTCGATCTTCGTCTTTATAATTTTAGGTTTGGGATTTGTCTGTAGAACCTTCAATCTTTAGGAAAAACTGAAACAAACCTTACCAGTCCTTACCCAGGTTTTGAAACCGAGGTTCTAGCAACCCTTTTGAAACACCTATTTTCTGAAACACAGCCTTCTGAACTTAGGCCGACGTCATGGGTATGTGGAGACATCGAGTAAATTCCCCAACAAAACTTGAATACTTTAGGCAGGAGTTCTCCATCCTAGCCGATGTTCACCTTAGGCTAGCTGGGGATGGTGATTCCTGTATGCCCACAGATCATACGATGGCCTTCCTATTGTAGCCTTTACTGAATGTGGACTCCGGCTTCCACTCAATCCCCTCTTTCGCGAGGTTCTCCACTTCTATAGGTTGAACCCTATGCAACTTACCATCAACTCTTATCGAGTGATTAATGGTATCATAGCCCTGGCTAGGCAAGAGAACGTTAGGATCACCCTTGCCGATATCCAATTTTGTTATACCATGTGCCCCCTTAACCTGAAGGAAAGAGGTTATGTCTACTACCTCAAGCCGAGGTCTACCGAGTTCAAAATTGTAGCCGACCTCCCGGATTCCAACAAGGGAGCCGGGGATGACTTTGTCATTGCTTCGGGAAATTGGGAATTTGGCCTAGACAAAGATGTTCACCTCTACCCTCTTCCTCGAACAGTTAAAGAGGGCAAGGGTAAGAGCCCAGTGCCAATACTTAGTTGTTTCTTTTCCAATTTTTCAAAAACTCTGTCTGTTTCTAATGTTGGTTTTGTTTGTCTTGCAGATCTTCATCAGCCACCCAAAAACTTTCATCAATCCTTCTTCCCTGGAAAAGATTTAAAGAAGCTTCTAGAACTTCTAATTCACAAGCGCAAGGCTCCCCTATTACTAAACTTTATTCCGACATACAAATCCACATTGCCCGACGTCCCGAAGAAAAAGAAGAAGGGCCTCTCTCCACCTACTGCCACAACTATAACCGCTTCTTCATCCCGAACAGATCAAGAGTCCACATCTGACCCAATCAATCAACCATCCACTTCGGCCCCATACTTGATCCCAATACCAGAAAGAAAACGCCGGCGACGCCTTGTCAAAACTATCGAAATGGGTCGTGCAAAGCCAATTGCCCAAAATCTCCTTGCCGACCTCCCGACTGATGCTGATGTTGTGCCATCCCAACCAATGCCCCCACCAAAACCAAAAAGAATCAAGAAGGCCCAGCCTAAGGCCAAGGCTGTTGAGGCTGAGGATAGCTTGCCTATCTCAAAACTGGCTGAGAGTAAGAAAACTTCTTCTGCTCCTGCAAAAAGGTCTGCCGAGACCCAGCCCTCTGAGTCCACCCAATCAAAGAAGCCGAGGTCTGCCTCAGCTACAACTTCGGGGTCCAAGAAACCCGATATCCCCTGGGCACCAAAGTTGACTTTGGAGGATAGGCCAATTATGTCAATTGAGAGTGCCGACGACATTAATGTCGGTGTCGCCCTCAGTACTGCTCTTCTCCTTCCAAGTGATCTGGAGCGAAATGCTGGGTACAGCGAGTACGAAAACTACGCGCTAATGCTCCAGCACTCCGTTCAAGTAAGTGTTTCTTGTTTTGTCTTTTCTTTCTGCTTCATACTTAGAAGATTTTCTAACACTTCTGTTTTCGTTCAGGCCATCCAGCACGCCCATTCATTTTCGATGCAATCTTTTGAAAATCGGCAAAGAGTGGTCGACATGAAGAGGGAGATTTCTGCCCTCAAAAAGGACAGTAAATCTTTTGAATCAAAGATGAAGAAATTGAAAGATCAGGCCGAGGCCGCTACTAAGGCCCAGCAAATAGCCAAAGAAAAAGCAGAGTCTGTTGAGGCTATTAGAAAAGTTGCTGAAGCTGAAAAGGAGGAGTTTAAATCGAAAATGGCTCAGGCTAAGAAAGAGCTTCAAAAGGCTCTGGCCACAAAAAAAGCTGAAATCGAAGAAGCTGATGAGAAGGCCTATGCCCAGGGCATGGCCGACGTCACTGAGGACTACAAACTTCAAGTTAAGCAGGCATGCAACAGGGGCTTCTCCCTTGGTTGGATGGCCCTTGCCAAAAAACTCGACATCCCAGATGACTCGCCGTTGCGCAATGCTGAAGCTGTTCCGCTCCCATGTCCTCCTCTTCCACCTCCAAGTCAGGCTGAAGAAGAATCTGAGTCTGAGCTTGAAGCCGAAGATGAGGATAATGATGACGGTGATGCTCTAGTAAGGAAGCCCAAGGACGCTGGTGAGATCCAATCTCTTCCTCAGGATGATCAAATCCTAGACCTGACTCACGAAGAGGATGAGGAGGCTATTAAGGAGGCTATTAAGGAGGCTACTCCTGAACAAGCATCATCTGACGTCCCTCCTACCGATGATAGTCTTAATCAAACACTTGCCGAAATTGATGCCGAGATCATGGCCGAGAAGGCTGCCGAAGTAGCTTTTCAAGAACCCGCCGAGGTCCAAATTCAAATTGCTCCTGATGCTGAAGAACCATAAATTCCATGTCTTTTGTACTTTTTTGTTTTTTGGACAATATAAGTTTCTTTGTATGGCCGATGTGCCTTTTCCTGTAAAAACGATTTACTTCTGGTAGGCCGTAGTGCCTTCTTCAATATGTAACTGCAACTGTTTTCTCTATAGATATTTCAATCTGTGTAATTTTCTGTTGATTGCTTCTGCATAGTTCTATACTTAGAATTTTTTGCATGC